TCACGAGGGTTCTTGGCCTGCCCAAGAAGGCCTTTGAGCAAGATCATTCCCATCTTGTACATCGCAGGCGGGTCTCCCAAGGATGCAGCACGCTTGTACCATTGCACCGCCTTGAAAGGGTCGCGTTTAGTGCCTCCGCCTTCTTCCTGTCCTATCTCGCAGCATACAGCGACTCGGTAGGCAGACTGGGCATGTCCCGCCTTAGCAGCGGAGTGATATAGGCTGTAAGCTTCCTTAGGATCCACTTGAAGACCCATCTGTCCTGACCCATAACAATCCGCGAGGAAGAACTGAGCGTCCGCGTATCCGCTGGATGCCAACTTCTTGACGATCTTGTAGCCATCCATAACATACCTCTCGCGGGCTTTCGCTTTGGTCTTGGGATCCATCCGACTGCTGTCAACCAGGACGGTCGATGCCTCAACCAACTTCTTCGCAAGTAGAAGCTGGGTCTTGTTGTCTGACGGCCTACTTTTGGCCATCTGTTGAAGTTGTTGAAGTTCCTGCTGGGTGACAGGACCGGATGCAGCTGGTTCCACGGGCGCGGCTTGCGGCGGGGAAGCGGCAGGAGGGGGAGCTGATGCGTTGGCATTGTTATATTGTCGTACCGGTGCAGGTTTGCTTCCCTGATCGTGGCCCGGACGGAAAGGAACGGGGTGGTGAGGGAGAGCATCGGGATTCTTTTGGGGATCCACAGCTTCGGGCTGATTCAAAGCTGGTGCAGGTTCAGTCACAGGCATCGGTTGATTGGGCCTGTAGGGGCGAGGTGGATTGCCCCGGACAGAAGGCTCTGGGACAGGATAGCCGCTACTGGGTTCAGGATAAGCTGGCATTCCAGCGCCCCAGTTCCCCTGATCTTGAGGGTGGGGCTCCTCGTAGGGATGCGGATTGTAACCATATCCAGCACCAGCCTGAGCATAGGCAGGTTGGATTGGTGGACCCTCATTCGGCAGGTCAAACTGGAAGCCTGCATTTGCAAATTGATTCGGCGCAACTGGGCCCCTGGCTTCCACTGGCGATTGCGGATAAGGATCGGCTGCTGCATGAGGGTTGAACGCAGTGTATCCCCCACGAGATGAAGGGGGCGACTCGATGGGTGCCTTGGCCTTCGGCTGTTCAAGGCCGGGCAAGCTTTCATCAATCACTCCGCCCTTCGCGAAATCAGGCATCGCATCGAAGTTGGGCATATCAGTCTCACCAGCATGAGCCGAGTTATAATAACTGTCCACCCATGCCTCAGTATCGAAATGCTCATGCGGACCCGGTTGCGGTTGAGAGTAAGGATCCTGGTAAGTCGATTGCCCAGGGTACAGAGGCTTGGGCGGCGGAGGTGACATTGTCGGCTGGACCGGCATGGTAGCACTTCGATTGACGTGTGGTACAGGCGGCGGGTCATTAGGATCGGTGTACGGCCTGTCGCTTCGAACAGACGAAGCTGCCGGACGGCCAGTACTTGCTGATCGCACAGGAGCGGCGGGGTAGTTGCTTCTACCACGGCCAGGGGATACAGGTCTAGGTGGTCGCTTACTATGCGAGGTATGCGGACGATCCGGCACCTGTGAAGGGGGTATTGGGCCACCATTGAGGTCCATTGCGGCCATCTCACCTTCAATACTTCTCGGTCCGCGCGGGTCTTTCGTGGGGAATGATGGAAACGGATTATCAAATGCCATCTTATCAGGAGATTGCGGTGGAGGAGCAGCTAGACTAGGTTAACGGCATGTTCCAGATCAGTGGGCTCATTTATACTCACGCCGTCTCATCTGAGGAGGTGGTCTGTCACCGTAGCCACGACGGCTATCATATCCCTGCGGCGGTGGAGGGCGTCCGCGATGTGCATATCCACGAGCCTCCATCGGGGGTCCATAGCCACCACGCGGAGGCCGCGGAGCCCCTGGTGGAGGCCCATACGACCGTGGGACTGCGCTATCACCGGGATAACCGCGTCCTGAACCCTGAGGACCATTACTGTATCCATAGTATTGGTTGTCATAGCCATAATCATATTGTCCATTTGGCGGCGGACCCTGGTAGGCCCCGCCCCGGGCGGGAGGAGCGCGGGGACCATAGTTTCGCATCGGAGGGGCCCTCTGCGCTGGATGTTGCGGGTATGACATTATGCCAGCAGTATTCTTGCGCGCTGTACAAGGGAGAGGAGTCGACACAGGCTTTTGAACAAACGATTGCGGATTCTGTATCCGGGTTGGAAGCGCGGGGAACAATCAATCCACTAGTAGACAATGCTCACGCCCCCCTTTCACTATCTACACCAATAGGAGGTCAGCCAGTGAGACAAAGGTACATATGGGCAAAATGCTGCTAGATCCTGGTAGTAGTAGAGGGGGGCGCTTAGCTTACTGGAAGCTAGGTAATGCGAAAAGTGACACCGGGACTAAGATTCAACAATTCCATGCGATATATGCAGCCATTAGACCCTGAAGAAAGACCAGCGCGAGACTAATGTATCCTAGCGAAAAGGAAAGGAATGCTGTCAGCGGTCGAATTGTGGGCGCAAATGACTGCAGAAGCCGGGGGCGCGATCGCACGGCGAATGCGCGAAGCCGGACCAACTCACCAGAACACGAGGGATAACCTTCCCCCCGCCAGGAATGAAGGAATGCGGGACCGGGGCAGGGAAAGCAAGATATAAAAGATGGCAAAGGAAGAATGACCTTTGTGAGAGAAAAAAAGAGCGTGTGACCTCCGAGGGAGGAGGAATTTTAAATTAGTGACAGAAGGGGGTGGTGGAGGTAGGCGGAGGTAAAGACGATAAGTGTCTTTGGGTGGTCGAGGGTTATAGGGACGGAGTCCGGAGTAGAGTAAGTACCTGACGGGTAAAGTAGTCTGACTGGATGGAGAGGGGAAACAGAAAGCCACCCGTGATTTTAAAACTTCCCCCTCTGCTAGTAGACTGGAGTGACAAAAAAAAAAGAGGTGGGAGCGACAACACAAGGGATTATGATTATTATTATAATTATTACTGATTGATTGACCGCGACGATGAAACACTTTATGAATGCCCACTCATTATGCCTTCCTTCTCTCCTCTCCTTTGTCTCTGATCAACCATGCGCGACTCCTAGCGAAATACCCAGAATGCATGACTGAACTGTTCGCGCACCCACTCAACTATCTAGTCTACTCACTGGTCGGCTACTGACACTTTGGAACGGTTCTTCTGAACTGACCCACGCCCGTCCCGCCGGCAATACTGTCGCTGGTCAGAGTTAGATATCGGTGTCCACTTCTCGCCGGTACAAACGGATCTCCTCCTCCGTCCCCCGACCCCATTCAGTCTAGTGGCAGCAGGAGTCATGGCTTTGGAAGTTTGGAACCTGGGTGAAGGACATTAAAGAGGGACTTTGGGGCACTGGTGCCATGTATCGACAGTGGGTAATCATATCCCAGTGCACCGTCAACCAGACCTACCAGCATTCCCGACTAACCCTTCTTCAACTACTTCAGCTACAGAATCAGAAACCGTTGGAGTCTGATAACCGCTTGGCACGGCGCTACCCAAGACTCCCATCTAGGAAATGACGTTGGATATCCTCTTAAGGCTATTGACCCCTGAGACATGAGATCTACCGCACCCAAATATTTCGAACAGCCATTATCTGCCCATCACCTACGAACCCGCTGCAAGGTCTTGAGCCTTTTGATCATCAGGGGTCTGGAAGACTTGTGCCAATGGATAGTCAGTAAGCAGTTAATCTTTGAGGGGCTCCTACTTTAGTACAACGACAGTGGTCAATATGGATCAAACTCCAGCGCAATCTCCGTTCGAAACTTAGGCGCTGCATTTCTATTGGTCTATACGAATACGACATAGCCCCATGCGTCGAATTACAATGAAGGATAAACACTCGGAGTCCGTTACCCAGCCTATGATGTTATCGATCATCAACCTATCTTACATAACCTACTCCATAGTATCAAGTGGCTCATCGAGCCCTATGGGGTACAATGTGCTGATGGTCCGACACAATTTACGGCCTTGAATCAGTTGATTGTCCAAGCGCGTCCCTTCAGCCATAGTAGATATTAGTTACCCCTGCCGCGTTGACGTATCAGATATGTCGCATCGAAAGATACCAACGTGGACCTTAGCAGACCTTGCGTCGGGGCAAATGTACTCTATCTAACCACATCCCACTTTCGCAAATGAGAATGCACATTATTTCAACAACGCCAGATGATTTCTCTTCGTAAAAGCATTTGACTAATAGACTTCCTGAATTAAGATAATGATCAGCTGCATCTGCGGATGGAAGTCCCACGCCTAGAATGGAGCTGCACATGACTCAAATGAGTAAAGTAATTCTTCATACCTCGCAAATACTCACCAATGAAGCAATTCAACCGACCACCCTACTTTTGCTGTGTGATTATATTTAGAAGTCGATATATCAATGCCGAGCGGACCGATGTCTAAGACATCCCGACGTCACAGTAACCATTCAACAGAGGAAGAGACAACAGAGAATGTCTACGATATTCCCCGCCCTTGGGAAAATCAGCGTCTCATTCGCACAAAATCTGATAGCGTTGTTCTAGTGACATAGTGAGTGGAGCAGCAGCAAGCAGCAGCAGCAGAACTTTTCCCCCTCGGGAGAAGGCCAGCAAAAAGGAAGTCCGCCCGAATAATTCCACTCCGCTTCCCTAATTGGTTTTACAATTAAGTAACGGCCACAAACCTGCGCCACCTGCATTACTAGCCTCCACTGCTGCGCCACACACACACATATGGATCGGCGCTGCCGAATCCCGTGTGCGTGATTACGATGATGATGTTAGTTGATGTCGGAGATCAGACGCACTTCCCGAACGATTCCTCTGTGGCTTCCAACAATTGAAGACATCAACCAACCAACCTCCCTCTCGCGTTTAGCTAGCCATTTACAGCAGGGCGATTTCCACCTGCTGCCTTACATCACTCGTCGTCCCAAACCATACTAAACAACAAACAATTGTCCCCAGAAAATAAATCATCCTCCACCATGTCTCGGGCAGGAACCTGGATGAAGATGCTCGGCGTGTAAGGCGCATCCCACCCACCCAACCACCTTTTTCTTTTCCGCACTTGCCGCGCGATTTTTTCTAACGGGGTAAATTACTTACTATTAGCGGCATCGTCATCTGTGTCGGCGGTCCGGCTTTCGTTCAATACATCCGTCCTACCGACGAAGAATTGTTCAAGCGTTATAACCCGGATCTTCAGAAGCGGAGTTTGGAGGAAGGGGATCGCCGGGCTCGGGAATTCGATGAATATGTTACCCGGTTGAAGCAATGGTCGAAGTCTGATAAGTCGAGTGCGTTTTGGTCCACCCCTTCTTTTATCTTATGGGTGTGTCTGTGAGAAGTTATACTGATGTCATGGGGGTTTGATTAGTCTGGTACGCGGCGCAGGAACAACAGGAACAGAAGCGCGTGGAGGCGGAGGTACAACGGAACCAGGCTAGGGATGATGCGAAGGTACAACGTGAGGAGATGAGGAAGGAATTGTTGGGTGAGAAATAGGCTTGTTGCGGAGGTATATCTCCACGGGAGTGAGTCTGCTGTGACTGGCGACATTTCTTTATGCTGGAGATGTAGCTGGATCGGACATGATGCTAGGAAGGACTCTTGACTCCTGCATCGTCCTTGTATTTATACCCATTGCGTCTACCTGAGACATGTCCAAAAGCATTGTGGGGGAAGCATTTGGCTCAGAGTTTGTGGAGTTTCGGAGGCTACGGTCTATACTGTATTATATTTCAATGACTGAATGGATATCCTACACTTGCATTATATGTTGTGCCTTTGTGCTGTTCTTGTTCATCGGACTACGCCGACAGACAGCCGAGTTTCTTCTAATCGTGGTATCGACGAGGCATTTTATTGGGATACCCCCGTTACTGCTCCTGTAGCGACAACCGTTATTAGGCAGAGGACTCACTAGTAGACCAAAATCTGCCGGTGAGCCGCTGGGACAGATCTGGAGAACCGAGAGCCACTTGATATGACCTGGAGTAATTCGACACAGCTATACGCATGCCAAAGTTGTTATTAGGCGCACGACAATCTTCGTACGCCGGAAAGAAATAGACTGGTATCCAGATCAACTCCATCAGCGCTTATTGATCGGATTACTGCTGGCCCGGTTGGTCCCACTTTCACTGCATATAAGGAAAACCTTCAGGCAGTATCCTTGAGACCTATATCGACTTCATCTAGTTTGAGATGAGTTGGCCACGCGTGTACATGGAGGTTGTAGCGAATGAGCACCTCTGCTGAGTATGACGATCTCTTATCCGAGATCTTCTCCGCCCACGCTTGAATGAACTGCCGGGCCAATTTTGCTGCAATCTTCGTATTGATGCTCGCTGTATGAATGGAGTTGTATAAATCGCTCAGATACTTGTCGCGGCTGTAGGCCTGTAGGTGTCCGTTCGGACAATTTTCGCATCCATCGATCAAAACTGCAATGCGAAGTGTTGTTGCGTCTGTTGTTGATACTAGCATAGCGCATTAAGTGATCACTTTACGCCGTTGGTGGTTATGAAGGAGATAATCTTTGCACAGTAGGTCTTGGGATTAGGCGTAAACCGTTCCCAGTTATTTTCTTAATATGTCTCACTCGTGAAGGGAGAAAGCATGACGCTAACAGCACTTATTTCAATTAATAGGAAAATAGCTGGTATGAGCAACAAATCTAGCCAAGTCTTAAGCAGATCGAAGAATGCAGAAGTGGGCAGGATTCTTTCGGCAACCAAGTCCTTATCGTATCTATTATCTAGATAGTAGATATATGGAAGAAGGGTCCACAGTCCATACTCGTTAAGGCAGGACTGCCACGTGATGCATGTGACGGAAGGCGCAGCATGCTTACAGAAGACGCACCGCCACATAGTAGGGCGTGTTTCTTAAGCAACGCATGAGGTCGGGCAGACCGTTGCCATACTTCATAACAGTAGTGAAGGGTGCCCAATAGACGGACAACTGGTGTTGCTATTTCTGTCTGTATTGCTCTCTCTACCAAATTTGCAGGCATACCTGAGCCTTGCTCCTGCACCTAGTGCATACATCGACAGTATTGACAGTTGTAGTAGATCTTCTATTTCCATGTGAAGTACTAGGTGGATATTGACAGGGTATCCTCTCCTTTTCCATGGGCGCAGTAGTAGTCAATAGAAACAAAGTAGCAGCAGTCTCTATACAGCCACTCAACTCAACCTTTTGGCTTTTCACCTTCTCTTTGTTTCCATTCTAGCGGCTGGTCCAATTGGGTCTCACCACTAAGCACAAAATAATAATAGTTGCCTGTGCCGGGGCGTCCTTCCCAATAGACCGCGGGTCACGTGAAACCGCCCCGACCGAACCGAAACGCCTGTAATCTCCAGAAGGCGGGCGGCGATTCATCACACCTTGTCAGCTTCCCTTCAATAACGCATCCTACTTCCCTCCTGCATTCCATCGTCCCGCCACCTTCCACACCATCCTCCGACCTCCACCTTTCTCGCTTTTCACCGTACCCTCAGTCGTCGAGTCTGTCGTTGCGACTTACCGCCTCATCCCCTACGACAGCAGCAGGCAGCAGCCCGTCACTTTCCACCTAGGTAGTCTGGTGACTTACCAGGTCCTACACCCCCGAATACCGAGTTCATAGAATTTATCGCGCACGAGAATCATGTCCGAGCAGCCTTACGACCCCTACATCCCCTCTGGCGCCAATGGAGCCGGCGCCGGCGCCAGCGCCGCGCAAAATGGCGACCCCAGGACAAGGGAAATCGACAAAGTAAGTTGCCGAAACGTCTCGCGGCCAACTCTTATCGTAAAACAAGGATCTGTCGCCCAGGTTGTATAGGATGTGACGGCTTGCCAGTGCTCATCTGGACGTCCATCTGAGTTCATCTACACTGGGCGGCAACCCCGATCTTTTGGATGTTATTGAGCTTGTGTCTATCATGGCATTTGTCGCAAAGCCCTTTACTAACATTGTGTTTCTTTCTCCTCTAGAAAATCCAAGAGACCGTTGATACAATGCGCTCCAACATCTTCAAAGTTTCAGAACGTGGTGAACGTCTAGACTCCCTCCAGGACAAGACGGACAATTTGGCAACATCAGCGCAGGGATTCCGCAGAGGTGCCAACCGCGTGAGGAAGCAAATGTGGTGGAAGGATATGAAGATGCGCGTGTGCCTTATCGTTTGTATCATTATTCTGCTCATTGTGATTATCGTCCCTGCAGGTAAGATCAGCGCTGTTCTCCCGGCACTCCACCCAGCTGGACCCGGTAAAGCATCCCCGGAGTGCGCTAACAGCTTTCTCCTTTTAGTTGTCGCAACCAAACATTAAGCTACGAATTCAGAGCGCGACAGTCATGATTGGCTTGGGAATGGATGACGATTTTTCTTTCGCCTGGCCCTGGTTTATCTGTGTTGAGACGAAGCCGTTGTTTCCAGCTATTAATACCACCTGCTTTTTTCTCGGGCGTCAACCTCGTTCTCACGAATAAAGTCTTGTTGTCTCTATACGCCATGGACGCTATGAGCCGATATGGAGATTGAGGCTATGCCACATGATTCCATCGACGGTGAAGATGTAAATGATACTCTCCGGTGCTTCCTCGTGTTCAAGTATCAGTGCTGTTTGTTGGTTTTGGTCTCCTATGTTTGCTCCTTTTCCTTTTCTCTTTTTTTTCTTTTATGTATTTCCTTTGTGTCTTTCCCTTTTTAGCCATTAATGGACCTCTGCTCCAGATTACACTCAAGAGTACACTGCGAGTATAGTACAGGCAACCTAATTTGTCCTTTTGAGACGTCGCACCTGCATAAAAGCGAGAGGGGGAAGAGACGGAGAGAGCAGGACCTGACGAGAAAGACGGTCAGGGCACTCATCTGGCCATAAGTCCGACCCATCGTAGCCTGAGACACGGGTAGATTCTCGTATTGCGGATACTACTACGGAGGAGATTACCAGCCATAGATAAAACCCGCACCCCACGGAAAAAGCAAAGGGAGGAAAGGCTCGGATGAAGGGGACCGAAGAGCAAGGAGATGTGGACCACATTAATATGGAATCTGGATACCCAGTTGTACGTGTTAGGTAAAGGAAGGATCAGATAACGAAAAGGATCCATCTGCACTGACGGATTTGACACCTGTGGCCTGAGTCGTGCTCCAGCACGACTCCAGCAAGACAAGACAGTGATAGGCTGTCGGCAGTTAGCGAGATCTGATAACGGCTTGAAGAGTTATTATTGATTGATGGAAATTGATCACAGGGGATCGTCGGGATCCATATGCTGGGTTTCCATTACGTGTGACGATGCGAAAGAGGGAAGCGAGGTAGTTTGAGGATGGGGGAGCGAAGGGCAACCGGAAATAATGGGAACCGGGACCTTGGAAATAATAGTAATGTGGTGAGTCACTTTTTTTCGATACCCGGCTCCGAAAGTCGCAGCCAAGCCAGCGTTTCGGGCACTTGTGCGGACTGGCGTTTATCCCTCGATATATCTACCTTAAGAAAGCCGGGTTTTGCGCAATTTATTCCAGTGGCCAGATCGAAATTCGCTCACATATAGTGACAGGTTCGACGGAGATCTAGGTGCCCCTGGTTAGCTTATTAGCTTGTGAAAACGGCCTAAAATTCGAGGCAACGCGTGGGGAGAGAGAAAGATATAAAGGGCGCTCCCGAACGCGGCAAAAGAGCGACATTGAAAAAGGCTTTATAAAAAACCTAAGGCTTAACTTGACTCAAGGACAGAATTGGTCACGGCCGAAAAGTAAAGAAAAAAACCCACCTCCGAACCAGGCGATTGCGGCCAGCCATTGGGTCGGAGCTAACTAGTGAGTAATAATTCCCCTCTTCCTAAGTTCCCAAAGGGCGCGCGCCCGCTCCGAAGAGTGGCCGATAATCTCTATCTGGACGATCAAACTCTTTGGGGGGTTGCGGCAAATTCCCTGATGAACCCGCACTACTACCACCTCCGCACAACCTTTTTTCCCTCTTCGTCACCTTCTCCTCTCAACCTCCATTACCACTTCTACTCTACTTCTACTTAACTCCCTCTAACTCCCACCCCGTCTCCCCCCTTCCAGGTCTCCCTCCCTCCGACCTTCCTGTCCGATATAGGCCTCAGCAGCTGCCGCATGCTGGCTGGCAATATGTTCTCCCTTCGCACCGCCGTGCGGAGAGCTTCCTCCAGCAAGCCCCTCCGCGCCGTCTCCGCACAGCATGCTGTTTCTTCTGCCAGACTGGGCGGCGCCTCTGCTCGTCAATCCCTGAAGGCCTCTGCGGTTCCCCTGTTGCAGAGTCGTCACTACTCCCGTGCTACTGACCCCCAGCTTTCCTCCACCCGCTCGACCGTTGTCCAGCTGCTGAGCAACATCGGTTCCAAGCGCGAGGTGCAGCAGTATCTCTCTCACTTCACCTCCGTTTCCTCCCAGCAATTCGCTGTCATCAAGGTCGGCGGTGCCATCATCACCGAACACCTCCAGACTCTTTCCTCCGCCCTTGCCTTCCTGAACCATGTCGGC